TTTCTCACATATTTTCGGGTCCCCAAGGCCGTTTTTGGGTTCTTTCACGTGTTTTTGGTTATTTTCTCCCCCAGCACGTACCGGGCGTCCAACCTGAAGCCGCCCGGTGAGCAGACGGTGCCGGCGTCCAACCTGCAGAACGCCTTCAGGATCATCAAGGAGGTGCAGAAACGCTACAAGACGCGCGAGGCCGAGGAGAAGGAGAAGGAGGTGAGGGGATTTGGGGGCGTTTTAAGGGATTTTGGGGTGTTTTGGGGGATTTGGGGCGGTTTTGGGGCAGTTTCAGGGCAGGCTTGGGGTGTTTTGGGGGCAACTTTGGGGTCATTTTGAGGCCATTTCAGGGCCATTTTGGGGTGTTTTAGGGACCATTTTGGGGTGTTTTGGGGCATTTTGGGGCAGTTTTGGGCCATTTTGGGGTGTTTTGGGGCATTTCAGAGCAGTTTTGGGGCTATTTTGGGGCAGTTTTGGGTCATTCCGGGGTGTTTCAGGCCAGTTTTGGGGCCATTTTGGACTGTTTTGGGACATTTTGAGGCCTTTTGGGTGCAGTGTTGGGGCATTTGGGGGTGTTTCAGGGCATTTTGGGACATTTTGGTGCCGTGCTGACTCCCAGGTTGTGTTTTTAGGGCATCCTGAAGCGTTTTGGGCCATTCTGGGGCAGTTTTGGGGCCATTCTGGGGCAGTTTTGGGGCGGTGCTGACTCCCAGATTGTGTTTCTAGGGCACTGTGAAGCATTTTGGGCCATTCTGGGGCAGTTTTGGGGCCGTTTCGGTGCCGTTTTGGGTCATTCCGGGCTGTTTTGGGGCTGTTTTGGGTGGTTTGGGGCCGTTTCCACCCTGGGTGTTGTTGTTTTTAGGGCATTGTGAAGCGTTTTGGGGCCATTTTGGGTCAGTTTTGTGTCATTCCAGGTCATTTTGGGGCCATTTCGGTGCCGGTTTGGGTTGTTCTGGGTCATTTTGGGGCTGTTTTGGGTCAGTTTTGGGTCATTCCGGGTCATTTTGGGGCCATTTCGGTGCCGTTTTGGGTCGTTCTGGGCTGTTTTGGGGCCGTTTTGGGCAGTTTTGGGGCCGTGCTGACTCCTGGTTATTGTTTTTAGGGCATCCTGAAGCATTTTGGGGCCATTTTGGGTCAGTTTTGTGTCATTCCGGGTCATTTTGGGGCCATTTTGGTGCCGGTTTGGGTCGTTCTGGGTCATTTTGGGGCTGTTTTGGGTGGTTTTGGTGCCGTTTTGGGTCATTCCGGGCTGTTTTGTGGCCGTTTTGGGTAGTTTTGTGTAGTTTTGGGTCATTCCGGGTCATTTTGGGGCCGTTTCGGTGCCGTTTTGGGTTGTTCCAGGCTGTTTTGGGGCCGTTTTGGGTAGTTTTGGGTCCGTTATGAGCCCATGTTGTTGTTTTTTAGGGCATAGTGAAGCAGGACTCCCTGGTGATCAACCTGAACCGCAGCAACCCCAAGCTCAAGGACCTTTACATCCGACCCAACATCGCCCAGAAGAGGATGCAGGGAGCGCTCGAGGCGCACGTCAACGGTGGGATTTGGGGCAAAATCGGGGGATTTTGGGTCTGCTCAAGGGGTTTGGGGGGTTTTGTGGGTTTTTTTGGTCTTTTATGGGGTTTTTTGGGGGTTTTCGTGGAGTGTTTGGGGGCTTTTCCTGGTTTTTTTGGGTTTTCATTGGGTTTTTTGGGTTTTTGGGGGTCTTTCGGTTTTCTTTTGAGTTTTCATTGGGTTTTTGGGTTTGTTTTTGTGTCCTCATCGGGTTTTTGGGGGTTTCATTGGCATTTTTGGGTTTTCATTGGGTTTTCTGGGTTTTCATTGGGGTTTGGGGGTTTTTTGGGGTTTTTCATTGGTTTTTTTGGGTTTTCACTGTGTTTTTTGGGGTTTCATTGGGTTTTTTGGGGGTTTTTGGGGTTTTTTTGGGTTTTCATTGGGTTTTGGGTTTTTTTGGGGGGTTTTCATTGGTTTTTTTGGGTTTTCACTGTGTTTTTTAGGTTTTCATTGGGTTTTTTGTGGTTTTCGGGGTTTTTTTGGGTTTTCATTGGGTTTTTGGGTTTTTTTGGGCTTTTCGTTGGGTTTTTGGTTTTTGGGGGGGTTTTCATTGGGTTTTTTGGGGTTTTTTGGGGTTTTCATTGGGCTTTTTGTTTTTTGGGGGGTTTTCTTTGGTTTTTTGGGTTTTCACTGGGTTTTTTGGTTTTTTTTCAGGTTTTCCTTGAGGTTTTTTGGTTTTCATTGGGATCTTTAGTTCTTTTTGGGGTTTTCATTGAGTTTTTTGGGCTTCATTGGATTTTTTGGGTTTTTTTGGGTTTCCATTGGCTTTTTTGTTTTTATTTTTGGGTTTCCATTGGCTGTTTTGGGTTATTTTTGAATTCCCATTGGCTTTTTTGGGTTTCCTTTGAGTTTTGGGCTCAAACCTGGCGTTTTTGGGTCCCCAGGGTTCCGTTTCACGTCGGTTCGTGGGGACAAGGTGGACATTCTGTACAACAACATCAAACACGCCGTGTTCCAGCCCTGCGACGGGGAGATGATCATCGTGCTCCACTTCCACCTCAAGGTCTGGGACGAAAAATGGCAGTTTTGGGCAAAAAACTTGGGTTTGGGGGGAAAAATGGGTTTTGGGGGGAAAAACGGGGATTTTGGGAAAAAAACTCCCAAGTTTGGGGTCAAACCTTGAGATGGGGAGGTGATCATCGTGCTCCACTTCTACCTCAAGGTCTGGGGCCAAAAACAGCCATTTTGGGCAAAAAATGGGGATTTTGGAGAAAAAACGTGTTTGGGGAAAAAACGGGGATTTTGGGAAAAAAAACTCCTTAGTTTGGGGTCAGATTATGGAATGGGGAAATGATCATTGTGCTGGGT